AATATTCAGTGGCTTAGGAATTAATTAAAGCAATTTAAATAACAAGATTTATTATCTAGAACTGCCTGCCTAACTTGGTTTTTAGAGCCGTTTAGTTACTAATATATTCATTATATAAGTCATCGAGCCAAATTTAAATGTATTAGTTAAAAATTATTCATATATATTTTGAATATTACTTTACGCTTTTGTTTTGTATAATATAAACTTCTCACGCGCCAGAAATTAATACTTCCTTTCAATTAAAACTCATTTAGTGCAGCTCGTTAGAAGGGAAATGGTTTAAGTGCTGTTGTTATATGCGAACTACTGCATGGGGCCATAAGTTAGTATTCCGAGCACATTTGGGTAATATTTAAGATACCCGTCCCCTAGCCTTTTAAATTGCTTCAATTATGTGTAGGCAACTACAAAGCACTCCCCACCATAGCCTAGCTTTAACTCACCAACTACACAACATCAAAAAGCAAAGGAAAAATGTCGAAAAATTGCCAGGCAGCGAGCAAAATTTATATGTAGCCTACATTTAGGCACCTAAGCGCGCAACACACATTCGCATACACATACACACAAAATGACGATAACTCACAAGTCCCAGCGCTGCCGAAAATAACTCAACTGTCAAAAATTTATGCCAAACACATACGAAGTCAGGCCGAGCGTGAGAACGCACGGTCATATACATTTTCATTAGAAGACATCCATCAAAATTCTCGCATGAATATGGACTTTTCATGTTGCCCCAAAACGAAAACGAAACCAACCAAACGGTAACTTGCCGTACCCCATCAGAGATGCCTACGCACATTGTCATTTCCGAAGACCCAACTCCTCTCTCCTCCCCCCTTCCTAACAACAAAATCAACAGCGCAGCGTAACGAAATAAAAATTTCACAACATACCCGCTCAGAAAAAAAGAAGATAAACGCAATTCGTTGCCTGCTTGCAGGCGCTTTCTGGCAACAATTTCTTCATGGCTGTGGTGTCACTTCCGTTGGCATTTTGCGCCAAGCTGCCAGCGCATAAAAAATAAAGTCGCTCCGCTGCCAACGGAGTTGAAAGCTAGAGGTGTGCGTGACTCATGGCTTCCAGGTGCAAATGAATGATGCGTGATTAGCAATAATTTGAAAGAAATCGAAAATATTTATTGAAAATATTGTAAATTAATATTGACGCCCCTACTAACATTGCATTCCTCAATGCTCACTTTTTCCAGAAATAATATATATAAATATATAATAAAATAAAATCTAATTGAATGGAATAGAATAAAATAGTAAAAAGCAGAATAGTATAAAATAAAATGGAATATAATAGATTAGTAAAAAGTAGAATAGTATAAAATAAAATGGAATAAAATAAAATAGAAATATAACGTATATAGTATAAAGTATTTTTTCAGCTAAATGAGGAAGAATGCCTAAATACTAATTGCCTTTTTATAAAGGTCTAAAGGTAATAAAAATTTTTATTGTCAACACAAATTAATCAAATAACCGCACTGTATTAATAATATTTGTTGAGAGCAATTTGGAAACATTTCGAAGTAATTATCTTACAAGTAAGTTACAATCAATTGCAAAACAAACGCATGGAAAAATAAACCCCAAAACCAAAATGGAAAAAAATATAATATGTCGTTCAATTTTATAAGCATGATGAATAATTTATTTTGAGCATAATTAATTAAAAAACCGTACTGTATTAATAATATTTATAGAGAACAATCTGGAAACATGTCGAAGTAATTATCTTAAGCTACATTCAATTGCAAGACAAACAAAACAAACCCCAAAAACAAAATGTCGATCAATTTTATAAGCATGATGAATAATTTAATTCGTGAGCTCAATTGCATTGTTGGCCGCGTGCACAACTCTAATTCGGTGAAGGGGTGGGCACGGGGATGGTGATGGGGCGACGACGCCGTGAATTGCGAAAGTAAAGTGAAAAACTGAGTAACTGGTTTATTAGCACAGAACACCTGAGTGCGGAGCTCCGGCTATGGTGGAGTTCAAAGAAAGAAAAGTATGGCTAAAATAGGCAAAGAGTTTTTGGTCACGTAAGGCGCATAAAAAATACTATGGCATAATTTGCAGCAAACAACGCCTTTTGTTTTGCGGCCCTGAGCGCTGGAAACTAGGCTACGCTAATAAGTTGTATTGTTGCCAAGTGGGGCAACGTCTTCAATTCTGGCTGCAAGTGCCTAAAAGCATGCCATAAATCTTAAAGGGCGCACTTCGAAGACAGAGATGGTCACTCAACCCTTCAATACTTTTGGCTACATATCTCATTTATCATAGAGAAGCCAACATGTGCCCATCAGCCGTTCTTTGCGCTTCTCATGTGCACCATGATTATGCGATGGGGGAGTGGGGAAAGTGGCGGCAGCGGGGAAGGGGTAGGCAACCTTTTCATTTGTAATAAAATTCATATGACTTTGGACAAGGCGCGCTCGCACTCATGTTTACCGTGAATCCTGCCAACGTCCTGATGTCCTGACGGCCCCACGTTGGGCATCATTAGGCCCGGGCACGCACATTTCTGGCAGCGCAGCATGTGCGCTCCCCGCCCCCTTGTCCTTTCCTTTCCCCATTTTGACTGTGGGGCTACATGCAAAACGCCATGTGTGACATTTTTACTACCAAACATTTGTTTTGCCCCCCTAACCAGGCCCCCTCTGTTGGGCAGGGGTGCAGTCGACACGTACCAGGGCACCGACATCGTCGTTTCTCGTTTCTCCAGCTTTTTTCTGTTGACTTTGCATAATTTTATTGCTTTTCTTTTATTTTTATGCGCTTTGCCTGCCCGCTCGACATTCCACGCTGACGTGTGCTCCACCGAACCGCCCCAGTTACGTATCCAGCGACATTGACATTATAATCAATATTTTGTTGTTGCTTTAGTCATGCGGCTATGTGTCTATTGGTTATATTTTGCCCTTGCCACTGCCTGCTGCTCGAACCACTTTCTTGTCTACGCTAGTCATTAAAGAACAGCATTTTTAGAGCTCGACATTATTTAGTTGTAATAAAGCTAAAGTATTGTGTGATAAACTTTTATATATTAAATGGTACTTGCTATGCTTTGCGGAAATAACATCGAAATGTTAAAGAAATCAACTTTAGAAGTTTTATAAAAAAAAGATTGGGTAAATGTTTAAAAATGTCTGTTTTATAAAATTTGTTTTATTAAATTCGGAATAAAAATATTTATTTAAACAATAATTATATTAGCTTATTGAAAAAAGCACCCAACTGATTCTGATCACATATTTACAACTACTATTAATATATGAATTAATCTCAAAAGCAATCGAAAACATATTTATTAATTTCCACGTTCAATGCAAAATTTTCCAAGCTAAGTAGAACGGTTCTTCTTCTAGCTTTGCTATTCTTTGACTGAAGTAAAAGCCTGCAAATCTAGTGTTAAGTGCTGTCAGATCCTTCAATGGGAAATAAATATTTTGAGAACATCACTAGTACCTAAGTAAACACCAATTGATTGGTTAAATAAACAAATATGAGAATATCACTAGTATACCCAAGTAGGGTCTCAATTATAAGAGTTGAAAGGGATAGAACTTGAAAGAATAAAGTCAATTGATATTCCATGAATGAAGAGTGGTTTTTACTTCGCATATCCTTAACTTCTTTTCTATTTTTGAACTTCAAATGTTTATATATCTTATTATTTCTGAATGTTGTAAAAGGGAATAGCATAGTATCTTACCTTTGTCTGTGCGATTGCTAACCGTTTCTATTTATGAATTCGTTTGTAATAGTGTAGAACTCTTTACTAAAGGGCATCTGATTAGCGTAGAGTCACAGCCTTTAATTTTATTCCTAGTTAACATTGAAATTACGCTAAAGTTGTATTTTATTGCTTGTTTTTGTTTGCGTCGCCCTAAACTTCAGAAAATTGTTGGGCTTGTTGGGCATGTTGTGCCTTTTGCTGCCCAGTGTGGTCGTCAGCGTTGGGCTGTTTGTTTGTGGCACGTTGTGAAATGATTTTAGTGCCTAATAAAATTTTTATATGACCATGTGAGGGTGTACGTATACTTGTATGTGTATGTGTGAGTGAAGGCATTCTGCATGTTGTTTATTATGACATGCCAAAGCAGGCATTATATATTCATGATCTGTACGCTGCTTGCTGCTTGGCTGTCATTTTTGGTCAGCGCTTTCTAAATAATTACTAAAATAAAATAATAAAAAAGCCAGAAATTCTGTTCCCTTTCTCAAAAAAAAAAAACCCGCATGATAAATCATCGCGCTGGCAAATGTTTTGGCAACTTCAACTTGGCGGGCGCCGTCTATCGTTTGTCCTCTGACACAGTCAAATGAATGTCAGCAGAATATAATGCGGCCATAAGTTGTATCATTATTTTAAATGCGCGCTGCCACACTTCTGCTCCTTCTTATTACTGTGCTTGTTGTTGTTGTTGCTGATTCTGACTGTAATTTGCATATATTTTAATTTATGTCATTTTGTGTGAGTGTGAGTGTGTGTGTGTGTTGCTTTTGTTTTTGTGTGTGCGAGTACAACTGACATAAAGGCATTTAAACACGCCATAAAATAATTCATAATAATTTACATGTACAGGAATTCAAGCCACCACCCCCACCCCCTCGCCATTCCCGCTGCTCAGACATGCCCAGGACTTCCGCTGCATGGTCGGGGTGCTCATCAATGTAACCGTTTTTATTAGCCAGCCGAGCACAAGCAGCACAAGATTTTAATGCATGTTTGCTGTTTGCTGTTTATCATTGAAGTTGAACATAAATGACATGCGTGTCTGTCCTTCTCCTTATTTATTTATGGCCTGCCTGGCTTGTTGTTGTTTTGCAGCTTGTATTAAAACTGTGTACCCATGTTTATGGGTCGTACATTGTACGTACATCCATCCATATACATACAAGTATATGTATATACTTGTACACACACAGACAAGTGACTTTGATTTTGGAATAGTACGAGTAGGAGTACTTGCTTACCTGGCATGTTGCGGTCCGACATTCCCCATATCATGTGCTGAGCTGGCGGTTATTTGAGAATCCGCAATGGCGCCAGATTCCATGCCCAGAGCTTGTTTACAAGTACCTAAACGGATTAGAAATGAATGTGCACAAATGCTAATTAGTCAAGTGGATTCATTAAGAGATAGCATTTGTTTTTAATGAGTACTTAAAAGTTCGCTAAGTCCATGTCGCATGGAAATATTTATCGTGATTAACTTTTTCAAAGCCCGATGAGCTTATTGCTTACTAGTATTACAATTCAGCTTATACAATTTAGCCATTTGGTCTGATATTTACAAACTCAAATCATTGTCCATGAAAATCCAATGAAGAAGGTGAAGCACAAGTTCCACCAAGTGGGAATGAACTGCATTTTCGCAGAAGATCGAACCGACCATGGTTGCCTAACATTATTTTAATCTCCCGAGGAGAGTGAATAGCAGCATCAACAGTTATTTTCCTTTATACAAGTATGTATATCTATATTTACATCACTAGTGATTGAGGCATGGCATCGATATTTGATATTTATTTAATGTTGTTGTTTTTAGTTAAATTGTTTCGTTTGTTCGCACTGCATTGTTAAATGCAGTTGAATCAGGAAAAGTAATAACAGGAATCTTTCGGTCTGCCACCTGCATACCAGTTGCTTTAATCAAAGCACATAAACAAAAGCTCTCTAATTATATATGCTAATTAATCAGCATCAAATGGCTAGCCTGCAGTGGATTCGTTGCATAACTCAGGCACAGAGAAAGGCTATTATTTCTATGGCAACAACAACAATAACATCAACAACCGATAGCGGGTCAAATCGTAGGGCGAAACGCCCACCAGCCAACGAAATAAACAATCGTTTGGGCAGCATAAGAAATGCTCATAATTAAAATGAGAAATGTGGTAACATTAACCAAAAATAGCGAAATCACATTGAAACAAATCAAAAAAAAAAAAAAAAAAAAAAAAAAAGAAACGCCGTGCCACAAAATATTTGTTTCTCACCTGTCAGTTCAAGAAAATGCGTTGCAGAAGAAGGGCTGCATAAATTAATTAAGCGCCACAAAAATCAGAAAACAAAAGCAAACCTCAACAACAGAGACGGAGCCGGAGACAGAGGCAGTAGATGCCCGTATACTCTAACTCTTTGAATAGCGCTCTATGTTGGGTTCATCATCATCTTATCTTTCGAAGCGCAAGCTTCGGCAGCACCAGCTCCATTGCTTTGTTGCCATCAATCTGTGCGGCCGGTCGCTCCGATGACTGAAAAGCGCAATTATCGTTTGGCCCCCGACAGAGCACAGTGGGCCTCAAACTAATGCTGCCAATGAAAAAATCCTATCCACACTGTCAAGCATGGTGGAAGAAGGACAGAGGCTGGACATATAATACTTATTGACACCAAAATGAAGAAGGTTGGGTATAAATAAGAATACTTTGGAAGCCAATATTTTATGATAGGTAATAGAAGTAATAGATATGTTAATTATTCATTTACAGCGAATTAATAATTAATGTTAAGGGTGTTATACCAACTGTAGCCTAGACTAGATATTTTTTGTGCTGTAATTATAAAAACGAATTGAAACCAGACTTTTTAAAGAAGTCAAATACACACTTGAGGATATACGCATACTTAGATGCAATCGAATGGAAATCTCATTCTTCAAATCAAGGTTTTTGTTGATTGATCAATAAAAGCATTGATAAGTTGGAATTACACACCCAGTTGGGAGTTGAAATGTCCCCCCCAATCATTAAATTAAATCAAATTTGCATTTCATATCAATAAGTTAATTGGTTTGAATACGCTGTCTACTCCTCCACTCCCTTTCCAATTCAATCACACGTTCGTTTAGAAATAAAATACCCAGAGGTATACGAGTACAGTTTTGTACAACATTTTGGTATCTGAATGGCCCACCGTGCGCCTTTTACTGTGCCACTTGTCGAATGGCAGCTGATGTTACAAATGAAATTCCACTCAAGAAGCGCACACAGTGCCAAGCTCCGAACAAAAGCCAACGGAAGGGTCATGAATAGGTCGCCCTCGTCGACGACGTCATTGTAGTTGTTGCTGTTGTTGTTGTTGTTGTTGTCGACATTGTTGCTGCAGCGCAGATGCTCAACAGCAAAAGCAGACACAAATATCAACAATATTATCATTCAGTGAATAATTAGATGCAATCAGTCAGTGCTTAAGCAGCATGAGGAGTTGCCAAAGAATCTACAAAAACTCTAGAGTCTAGACAAAGGTCAAGCACAGGCCTCGTAGGGACGACTCTGACTCCGCTCTGGCCATCCATGGCTCATAGACGTGCTTTGGAGCGTATCGCCGCATCTGCAGATATAGATACATCTTTGGCAGTTTCATTTTACTGGCTTGTTTTGAGCAGCGCTCATGTTTTTCTACCATCATACTACTCTTTCACTTGCAACAATCTGTGATTTGTTTTTTTCCCTTTTTTGGAATCTTGTCATTAGGAACTGTTTAACGTCGAGGGCTGTGGGAACAATTGTGTGGGTGGTGGGCAACAAATAAGAAGCAAACCAGAGTTTTGAAATTTAATGAGGTTTTATTTGAAAAAAGTAGTTTTTCAAACTTATTATGTTTGTATTTTACGCATAAAAATTAGGCAATTAAAAATGATGAATAAAATATGAATAAATTATAAAACAAACTAAAAAGATAAGGATGCGATTGACTCTCAAATGTGATCAGAGACGAAAACTAAACAAAAAGTAAGAAGGGGAGAAAATTGAATTCCAATTAATATCTACTTAATGAGCTAAAAGAAAGTAAGGAATATCTCCGACTCGTTGTAAAATTGTATTGATAGTACGGAAAGCAGTGCCCTTACTCACAGCCGTAAGTGGTCAGAGATATATATGCTTCAGATATGATTATAGCTTTAAGTGTGATCTAAATATCAACAGCTTACTCATAAGTGTGCACTATTATTTTATTCTGCGAACTTCTCTAACTCATCTCGCCCATCAACATCATCACAACTAAATCATTTACTTTCTTTAGCACTAAAAACTCATTTACCCTGAACGCAATTGCTTAATTATTTACAGACAATGCGCGGCGAAAACTTTAGCACTAAATTGTTGTAATCATTCATTCTGACCCCCCAACCTTCCTTCTGAAGACAACACGAAAGCCCTTCAAAGTCTTGGAAATATTTACATTACGTCTGACATATTGCTGCTCATAAATTATTTTTAATTATTCGAAAAAATGAGGAGAAGAAAAGCCATGAAAACTATAGGAAAACAGTTTTTCGTGCCTGTTGCTGTTCGCTGATCGATGTGCGCGCCATTTTCTAGTTTTTCAATTTTAATGGGCGGCCATTAATTATGACAGCCATAAGTCCACATCAGCTCATTAAAGCACGCGATGTGTGCCAAATCAATGGCAAACAAATGTGCCAATCAGTTGGAAAATATGCTGTTTAAACAAAAATCTACCCATGCAGGCGGCTAAATATGCATCAAAGCATTTTATGGACTTTGGTATTATGTACATACAAACACAAGCAGACAAACGTGTGAGGAACAGTGGGGAGTATTGGGAAATTTTCCTTAAATCGAAATGGAAATAAAGATATTGATTGCACTGTTCATTTCCTCACTTTTTATTAATACTATATTAATGAAAACCCTTTGTGTTCGGTTTCCATTTTGTGAAATAGCAAATATTTGTAGAATTCGTTTGACGACACTCCGTGCTCTTGCAAAGTTTTTGAATTAGAATAAAAGAAAGTCCAATTTGAAAGCATTTTTATAAATAAAGCTATATTTTATGTTTTATATAAATTTATTTTATTTTCTTCGGATTTGAGCAATTTGTTTGTTAAACCTCCTCCAATATGCTCTATTTATTTTAGATATAAAGTGCTCAAACCACTTTATATAGGAGCCTGCCATGCTCAATACATACTTTTCTGTATAGTACTTGTATAAATATATTTTGGATATAAATGGTATAATATTATCTTGCTAAGTGCAAAATTGAGTGGAGGGATAAATATAGTTCTTTTATTTAAGCTTATATTTATGGTCTAAATATTCAAATTTCTATTTGTCGACATATGAATTAAAGTATTATTTAAATATTAATTCTCAAAACTTGATTCATTTATAATCAAGAAACTTAGTTACATATATGGAAATCGATAGAAAATTTATAATTAAATATAATTTTCTAATGCAAAACCCTTCTCTTGATATGTTGAAATCAACAGTAGGTTTATAATTGAATATATATTTTCTGATGCAAACAACTTTTCTTCTTTTTTGTTAACATAAAAAAAAAATTTGTGAGCAATTATTTTACTACACTCCCTACACCCTACACCTACTTTTGATTAAGTGTAGACATTTCTATTTGGGAGAATCTGTATTTATGATATGATTAGCCTATATTTATATGCACAGTTAAAATGTTCCCCACTGTTGTTGGGAGCTTTGGAAACGGGCTGGTAAACTATTTCGTAAGCTCTTATGGCAAAGTGCACAAACTACAAAGTGAAAAGTAAACAATGCAACGGACGGGCGGTTGTTGTTGTTGTTGGTGCGCAAAAGTTGTGCGCAAAATAAATTGCACAAAATTTAATTAACTGCACTTGAGCGCATTGAGTTCGCTCGCTCGTTCGCTCGCTCGTTCGCTCGCCTGTCCGTTGCAGTTTCGCTGCACGTGCTGAGGTGAGTGTGAGAGTTGTTGTTGTTGGCTCTATGTGTGCTTGCGATAATCATAATTCAAATTCAAAAGTTCTCTCTCAAACAACAACAACAACAACAGCAACAACAAACAGCAAGCGCGTGAGCCCGCCAAAGTTTATGAAATTGAAAATTGCACAATTTTACAGTTGGATGCAAGGCATGGCATGGCATGGCATGGACAGGGGAAGGCATGCTTTGTGGGTTGCTCAAAGGCGCCAAAAAGTTACGCCAAACAAGAACAACAACAGCAACAGCGGCAGCAGCAGCATCGCAAACAGCAACAACAACAATCGTGGTTTGTAGAAAGCGGGAAGGGTGCCAGTAGTCGCCTACGAGTAGAACGCGCAACTCAATGAC